GTATGTGTGTGAGATTAAAATTGTTTTTTATGTATATATAGTAGTAGATATTGAATTCCTTTAACTTCTTCTAGTGTTTACTTCTTTATATTTTGGGTCTGCTTAGTAAAAATTTTGCTCCCCGCACTAGTTTGATAATTGTTTGAGAGAAGCAAATGTTTGGTCGCCAGCTTGATCAGTATGAGAAACACTTGGAATACATATGCAATGGCGAAACCAGAAATATTTTTAAGGGTATTCAGACTTGAAAGAAGTAAATAAAATTTTCCGACAAAGGGTGTTCAATATATATTTTATACATCTAAAATCAATATTTTACTTATATACACAATGTACGTTTTTATAATATTTCGGCAAAGGGTGGTCAGCCTCGCCCCTGTACACATGCATCAAAACCCTTGAATCCCTTTTACCCACCTCCATCTAACTAATTAACCTTGCAACACGGATCTACTATTTAAACTTAAAGGCGAGCTCAAAATCCTCTCTTCTTTAATAATTGATCATACAGGTTTTAAACTTAATATTGTATGTTGCTTTTCAGCGTTTTCCACATAGTACTATATATTGATGATTCATACGCTAAAAATAATGAGTCCAATTAGTCGAACCTACTCTTAATATTATAGATCCGCCTCTCGTTGAAACTACCTATGTCATATGCCTTGTTTCATATCTTTCACCTTTTGTATGGAGGTAAGACTATATCCCCCTCCTTGTAATTTTCTGATCAATAAAAGCATGCACCATGCAGTGGGACGTCAATTTTTTTTTTAAAATCTAATTATGGCCTGTAGAATTGTTTGTTATAATATGATTTGTTTGTTCGAGCTTGAGGAAATTATGGGAACATTTATGGAGGAAAATTAGGGTCGGATGGAGAGAATAAAATACTGATATATATTTATTGCATATTTGCTACTGTATCATTTCCAGTACACATGCATGCAACTGCATTACGCTAAAAGCTAGAAATCAAGAAACGTAGTTTTATTTGGACTTATTACAAAAGCAGATTGACTCAGAAGTTGTTTAGGTTATTCATTTATGGGCGATTGGCTTCTTTTTGCATGTAGGCCAGAGCTTCTTGAGCAGTAGAGCAACACCTGCAGCCTCCTCCTCTCCCATATCCGCCGCAACACCCGTATCTGCATCCTCCGCCATGGCCACCACCTCCATGACCACCACCACCATGTCCACCGCCACCATAACCGCCACCGCCATGACCACCGCCACCATGACCACCACCTCCATAACCGCCATGGCCACCACCGCCTCCATAACCGCCATGACCACCACCACCATAACCACCTTGGCTTTGTTTTGCAGCATCTAATTGAACAGTTGCCTGGCCTTCATTTGCTGCTACATACATACAACATAATGTATTTCTCAGTGCATGGAACTAATATTGCTGAGTAATTTACTTAGTACTCCTTCGCGTTTTATTCTATATGGTTAGCTTTAAAACAAGAGTAAAGTTTGACATGTATCAAAAATATTCTTAGTTGTGATTTCAAATATGTTATAACATTCTTATAATTAAAAGAGTATGTCATTAAGAAAGAGTATGTCGTTAAAAATAAAATGAAAAATCCAACGTCAAAGAGTTTTCAAAAATAAAAAGATACTATTCTCCTTAAAAGAAAAATGACATTGTACAGCTGTGTAAAAATAATAACCGAAAAATTATATAAAATTTGTATATATATACATTATGTATGTTATGTATAAAAATTATATAAATATTATACACTTTTTTTACTACCAAATATAAATAGTTTCTGGCGCAGGCTAAAAGTGATAATTCGCACTCCTAAAACAGGTCATATAAAGTACTCCTATCTTTTATATCTTATCATTGCGTGAAAGATTAGTTCAGAATATAACATCAAGACGGATGAAAAAGAGAACTAATTCCTAAACTAAACTATATTTAAGTAAGTGAAGAAATCAATAGTGTATATGTTTAAGCAAAAATAGAAATACTACTGTCTAAATCTGACCTAAATCATTAGAAGTACAGTAAACATTAGTACCTTTTTTCTCATGTTGAGATTTCTCATCAACTGCTAAAGTTGAAGCAAGAAAAAGAGATGCACATAAAAGTGATAGCAAAATTAGGGTATTATTGAGCTTCATATTCTTGGAACTTCTTTTACTATCCAACAAGAAAGACTTTTGAGAGTAGAATGAAACTTTCTTTCAATTGAGCCTTAATTTATACTGCAAAAATTCCCACTACAAGATGTAAACTCTGACTAGGCTCCATAATTTTAGATGGTTTTTCCATTGGATGACGAAATGAAGAAGAAAATTTGCTACTACAAGCTGAGAAGGAAGCAGAGTAAGCTTAGCTAAGCTACGTGGAAGATGTGAAGGCTATACATATGGAAATTGAGGTAATGCTGCTTAGAAGGAAACATTTGTCACTATCTTCATATAGTCAATCTTGGTGTCTTGGTTTGTTTTGTTAATCATTGTCTCTCATTTTCAACATCCTGAGATAAGCAGAGAAGTGGTGCAAGTCAAAAATTCTGACAAATTGATCTTAAGACTCCTATGTTTCAGCAACAACCCCAATATAATTCTGCAGGTAAGGTTGGAGAGAGTAGTGTGTACGCAAACCTTATCCCTATCTTGAGGGTAGAGAAGTTGTTTATGATAGACCCCCGACTAAAAAATTGAAAAAAAAATAGTAGCAACAAGCAGCAGCAACAACAAGATAATAAGAAAACAAGCAGAATGATCAACATGTAATAGAGAAAGACTCATATGTTTCAACAACAACAAAAAAAAATTCAGTATAATCCCGCAAGTGGGGTTTGGGGAGGGTAGTATGTACGCGAACCTTACCCCTATCTTAAGGGTAGAGAAATTGTTTCTGATAGACCCCCAACTCAAAGAAAGCAGTAGCAACAACAAAAAAATAAGAAAACAAGCAAAATGATCAACATGTAGTAATAGAGAAGGCCAAATACATATACTAACCATTAAACTTGGCCCAATTTTTCATTTTGGCACTTTAACTCAGCCTTGTTCCATTTTGGCTCTCCAACCCCATTTCTTTTGTTTCACTTTGACACAAAATTTTTTCTCCCAGGTAAAAATGCAGTGCGTCCAAATACTCAGTTGCTACCCCACCCCACCCCACTGCACCCCCCTGCAAAAAAAATTATTTTTTTACTTTTTTTTTTTTGTAATTTCAAATTATTATTTTTTTCGTTTTTTCTGCCCACATCCCGAGGAAAAATATTTTTTTATATATATTTTTAGTAATAACTACGGGTTCAACTGAACCCATAACTTTCGACGTATAGTAAAAATTTGTATGTAAAAATTCATTAAAATTATAAAAAAATAGATATAAACCCATAACTTTAAAAATATAATGGGTTCAATGTTAAAAACATTAAAATTGAATCCATAGGATTTAAATTCTGGATCCGCCTCTACGTTGGGAGTATGAAATTTGGCTTAAAAATGGCTCTCACGCGCTTACAAGAGTGAAGTAAATCACACATGGAATCTAGTCAACTTTTGTGTCAAAGTGGAACAAAAGAAATGGAGTTGGAGGGCCAAAATGGAACAAGGCTGAGTTAAAGTGCCAAAATGAAAAACTGCGCAAAGTTTAATGGGTTGTCTATGTATTTTCCCGCAAGTGGGGACTGGGAGGATAGTGCATACGCAGACCTTATCCTTACCTTGAGGATAGAAAGGTAATTTTTGATAGAGCCCCAATTCAAAGAAAGATAAAAAAGAAAGCAGTATCAACTGCAACATAATAAGAAAACAAGCGGAATGATCAATATGTAATAACTGAGAAAGATTCATATGTTTGAGCAGCGGGTAAAAAGATTGGCCAAGCTAAACTATGTATATATCCTATTCATGTAATGAACATTGTTGCCTTCTTCAATACATAGCACCAAATAGACACTTAATAATATACTACTCACATGATAATATTACTTCTGGAAACTAATTTCTACAGCAGATTTTGCCTTCTATCCAATATTTAGTATTTTGGTTTCAAACCACATACGCTTAAATATGCTTATAATACTACATGGTAATAACCTTTCCTTTGTTATAATGCATAAAATTTCCCCTGAATTATACTCGAAGTTGCACATCTTACTTTTACGGAGGTTCTATTACCCGCCTAATTTTTTTTTTCTTCGCACCTTTATTGCTGATGTGGAGCACTGCATGATAACACCTCCTTCAAGCGCTTGAGAACTTTAAAAAAAAGGCTCTAACCTATACGAAAAAGTCACGTGTCAATTCCAAAGCCGATTTTCAAGAACTCTTCATCCCCATTTTTTCATACATTTTCAAGAGCTCCAAATCTAATTTTTGGTGCCAAAATTTAACCAAAACTCAACTAAAACCACACCAATCAAGCTCAAATTTCAACTACAACTTCACAACAACATCATCATCATCATACCCCAGTGATCAATTTGGCCAACAACCAAGAATTTTGACAAACATATTTTTTTGTTCTTTAAGTTTTTTCAAGGTTTAACAATAGTGGATTAATTCAAAATTCTTTTTTCATTTTCAAATCTCATCTAGAACTATAGATTTAGAATGAATTTAATACTTGAATCTCCACTTTAAAACTTCAACGACGTCCGCATATGCTCAACACCTCTAATAATTTTTCAAGTTCATACAAAAATAATTTTTCTTTTCATTTTTCTAAATACAAAATAATATTTCCATTACATTTCGAGTTAAAAAAAAATAAAGGAAGAAAATGAAATAGATTTTAAAAAAATGCGAATTACATGTGGCGGTGCATGTATTTCACCGCTTGCCAAATGTTTGGTTCTCTATGCCACGTCAGCATTTAGTGTGACATTTATTCCACTTTAAAAAAGTTTAGGGATCCTACGTAGAAGTAAGGTGTGTCGTAGCAACTTTGGGTATAGTTTAGGGAGAATTTTATGCATTATCCCTTTTCTGGGGCCATGTTTTTCCGTCCGCCTATGTATGTATGTGTCCTCAAACGTATCCAAAAATTTTCATGTGGCGCCCAATTTGCCCGTCCATTAAATTTGTACACACTTTTTAAAAAAGATTTAATTGATACTTAATTTTTGGATAACTTCATATACATATACTTTTCTCTTCTTCTTTGCTGCTGCTTTCTTCTTCTTTATGCTTAGGCTTTCTTCTTCTTCTTGTTAGTTGAAAAATAGATTTCCTAAATTTATTGTTATTTTGACAATCTGATGATTAGACTTTGCTCTTTATGATATTTGAAAGTTATGTTTCAAATTTGAGCTTATTTGCAGTAGATTTATGTGTTGAATCGTGTCTTGGATTGTTAAATTTCGAAGAACAAGTTTATATTTCAAATTTGAGCTCATTTGCAGTAAATTTGGGTGTTGAATCGTGTCTTGGATTGTTAAATTTCTAAGAACAAGTTTATGTTTCAAAACTTAAGATTCAAAATCTGAAGTTGCATTGAAAAGATTAAACTACTTAAGATTCAAATTTTTGAAGTTGCATTTGAAAAATAGAAGAACTTCAACTACCTAAGATTCAAATTTCTAAAGTCGCATTTGAAAGATAGAAGAATTTCAGATTTGATTTCTGAAATTACATTGAAGAGATTAAACTACTTCATATTCGAGCGGGTACATTTTGCAAAATTTTGTACAATACAAGTATAACTTCAATAGTAGCCCCAGAAGTGAGTATATATGATAATGCCCCAACGTATCCTCAGTTTGCTGGACGTATATGGATGGATCTACGTGTCCTAAAAAGTATCCTTCCTGTGCTTCCAGTAAATGAGTTAGTATTTGTTTGGTCTTGAAGGCAGTAGCAGAACCACATGAAATAAAGGGATTCAATTGAATTCTCTTCGTCGAAAAGTTATACAATGCTAATAGGGTACAAACAATTTTTTTTGGCACACAATCAGTTTGAGTTCATGTTGGATCGCTCCACTACGAAAGCTATTCACCTTATAGGAGGTTGGTGGAACAGTACAGGGATAAGAAGAAGGATCTGCACATGGTATTTATTGACTTGGAGAAAGCGTATGATAAGGTCCCTAGGGAGGTGCTCTGGAGATGTCTTGAGGCAAAGGGTGTGCCGGTGTAGACATGTGATTTTTGACTCTCCCCAAGATTTTTTATATATTAGCGTAAAATATTTAATTTAGGCATAATATAGATATTTTAAGTAATTTTGACTCTTTTAATCTATTTTATTACAAGAAAACAAAAACTTACAAAAATAGGTTCATTAATGTTTTGTAGTTATTTTTAATCTAAAAAAATATACAAAAATAGTACAATATTTTTATTTTAATATGATATTTGAAAATACCAAAAATAGATTTGTTTAATGATTAGTTTTATTTTAATAATTATTTGAATAGTAGTAATAATTAATAAATGGGCTCATATTTTTAATCTCGTTCGCAGGGAAAGAATAGAACTTAGGTTCGAGCAACCCATTTTTAGACCTAATTTTGGACCTAGCCTATAATTCCTAGGCTCATACCCCTTAACCTAAAAAAACCCTACAATCTACAATATAAAAAGGGACCGAAAAAATCTAAAGGAAAGAAAAAAAAAGAGAGGGGAAGACTGAAAAACAAAAGCAAGAGAAGCCAGCGCAGCATACACGGACCCCCCTTCATCGGATTCATCTTCTCCTTCACTTGGAGGAACGAAAACCGAAACCAGCCGCAACAGTGCAAAGAGGAGACCCCTCTCTGAAATTCATCTCCTTGGTCATCCCCCAAGCACGCATGAACTTTGAAAATTGCAGACCCTTACTCCATCTCCACTAGTTTTTTTTTCAAGAGTTTTGTTTCAAGTTTTAGATTTCTTCTTCGGGTTTCTGATTTCGGAACGATGGAATTAATCGAAGTTTGGATCCATTTCCGAGTTCGGATCGTTGGAGGTTGCCGTTGAAGGTTTAAGTCCGAAAATCTGATTCGATTTGTGACGATTCTATTTGAAGTCACGTCAATATCCGGCTGTAATTGTTGCTTCATTCACTCCGTATAAACTTCAGGTTCATCTTTGCAGCGTTGGTTTCTCTCTTCCAGATTTAATCGGTTCATGTGAATGTTCAATGTAGTCTTTGTTTCAGCAAGTTTGAATGTGTATGTGATTAAGAAGATGTTAGTATTAATTAGTTGCTTCGTTTCTTTCTCTGATTTGCCTCTTACCTTGTGGTGTCATTGTTGGGTGG